TTTTTTTGTGATCATACATAATTAGTTTCAAGTACTAGCAAGTCCTTTTACTCGTAAACAATTATGGTGCAGCAACATTTACAGTAATAATATGGTCGATCGAACAAGGAATGCAACACTTGCACCTGTGCAATATACTTCCAAGATGATAAATTATTGGATTATAGGGGTGGAATCGAATTCGATTTTAAGAAATTTATTAATATATATAAATTAGTTACGCGATTAATTTTTTTTTTTTTTTTTTTTGAGAAATCAAATTATTTTAGATAGAATTAGCTGAGATAAAAATACTGACATAAATAACAAATATTTTTTAATTAATGACCTTAGTTCTGTTGCTAGCCCCAAATGAACTATTAATCCTAATTTTAGACCAAAAATGTATTTTCCTTTACTCATAAACGGTCGACTGACAAAATGGACCGAAAGTGTTACAGATCGATGAAAAATGCTAAATAGAGAGTGAAATTTGTGCATCCGGGAACGAAAGTGGAATCGAGTTAATTTGAAAGACAAAATATAATGTTCCTATGCAATTTTGTTCCAAACATTCTTTTTCGAAATAATGTTCCTATGCAATTTTGTTAATGGAATAAGAAAACTTGTTCCAAAAAAATCAAAATTCTAGAAAATGGAATAAGAAAACTTGTTCCAAAATCGATATTTCTTTTTTTTTTTTTAATCATAATAATTGGCGAAAATCTGAAATTCCATTATATTACTAGTTACTTGCACCAAAAAAAGGCGAAATATGATATTACTATTTACTAATAGTATTTGATATTATAAATGTCATTTAAAAAAAAATGATTGGAACTTTCCAAATAACTTTTCTCAATTAAAATTCCATAATTATTTTCCTGAATTAAAATTTTGCTGCGGCTATATGCAAGACTAATTCCACTTGTGCAAGACCAAATTAAAATTTTCAATGTATAAATACTATAATACCCTTATTTATTAAAAAAATAAAAAATTCCAAATATGCAAGACCAAAAATTTAAAAACACAAAAAACCCTATCACAAGACCACAAAACCACAAGACCAACTATCATCTTCTCCATCTTCCAAAACTCACAAGACCTTTCTCCCTCCTCCATTAACCCACAAAACCTAGAAATTCAAAATCATCAAAACTCAACAAATCTTACAAAGATGGCAAGTATGGAGTCAGAAGACATCAAAATAGAAGATTCTACGATGGAAGAACCCAAGAATGTATGCATTTATGGGTTTTTTTAGCTAGAATATCGATTTTCCAAAAAAAATCCCGTGCAAACAAATTCGACATGTACAGGTCGAATTTTACAGGTAAAAATCGACATTTAGATGTCGAATTTGAGGTATAAAATTCGACATTTAGATGTCGATTTTTAGGTATAAAATTCGACATTTGAATTTGTGCTACAAATTCGACATGTCAATGTCGATTTTTACCTATTAAATTCGACGCTTAAGTGTCGATTTGTAGCATAGTTTTTCGACACCTTGGTGTCGATTTTTGTTTTTTTCTCATTATTTGTATTTGGTCTTCCATGAGAAAAAAAACCAATTTAATTTATGGGCATACTTGTCATTCCATCTTAATAAAATAGAATCTTTTGGAATCTTTCTTTCTTTAATTTGGTCTTGCACAATTGGAATGAGTATTGAATATAGCCGCAGCCTTAAAATTTTCCATTGGTCGAATCTAATGGATCTTCTGTTTCAAAATTGGAATTCGTCGAAGCTGACATCTTCTCCGAGCAACATAGCTTAAGCACGGAAGCCATTTTTGCTGGCCGAGCAACCTGGTATCATCTTAGTGCTTCATCCTCAAATGGATTCCTCTACCAGGTATTTATCCTTTCTCTTCGTTCCATGCCTGAACATTTGTCGTATTGAATTTCTGTTAACATATGCATGTGGACCAGAGTTTATTCTGATATGGTTTATTATATGGGTAGCTATTTTAGAGTGAGAGAGAGAGAGAGAAAAAAATCTGCCCTTTGAAGCATTTTTAGTTTGAAAAGTGATTTATTCTGCACCTCTCTCTCTCTCTCTCTCTCTCTCTCTCTCTCTCTCTCTCTCTCTCTCTCTCTCTCTCTCTCTCTCTCTCTCGTGTTAATAGATTGAAAGATGAATGTGCCTAGAAGGTGTTTGATCAAATGCCTTTCAGTTGTAAAGACGGCAGCACTCGTGTTCTGTTGTTTTACTTTTATTTGGGTGTTTTTGCTTGAGTTTAACGAGTCTGTGGGATAATAGCAAATCACCAAATAATTTTTTTGCAAATTGCAAATTGATAGACTGCATTATTTGTATGAAAAATGAATAAGATATATAATTTATAAATAATATAATATGATCAATTCACTATATTATTTACTAGTACAGATAGGTCCCATATACTTGTTAGAGTCTCTATTCACACATTTCTTGGAAATTCATCACTGAACTAGGGACATACACGAAAGTGAAACAAATTATATAAATATAGATACATATAAGAAAGGCTTGACTGATTCAAAAACTTGACCATGCACTAAATGTGAAAAAAAGAATAGTCAACTATAGTTATTTCTAAGTTGTAGTCTTCCTACAGGCAAGTAAACATGGACCTTGTAAGCATTCATTCTTTCCCAACTTCTCTGCTCAACAACACCAACCAATTACACAGCCATGAATTTCTATAATCATGCAGTCGCAATTGCTATGATATTTATCTGCTTCTTCATCACATTCACATCTTCTTCTAGCAATGATCCAATAATTACTCACTTCACAGACGATGTTTCGATCAACTGCGGCTCATTTGGTTCCTCTCAAGCAAGCAATAATGGAAGGGAATGGATCGGAGACGTAAATTCAAAACATTCTTCTCTACTACAAATAAAAGGATTATCAACCACTTCAACAGTTGTCCATAAGTTGAGTATCTCTGCTGATCCAGTTCCTCACAAGACCGCACGTGTTTCTCGAACCCGATTCTCCTATGCATTTCAACTGAGCCCAGGTCAGAAAATTCTCCGTCTTCACTTTTATCCGGCTCCGTACAAAGGATTTAAAGGGTTCAAGGATTTATTCACCGTTGAAGCTGGTGAATTTACCTTGCTCGGTAGCTTTAGCCCTTCACTTATTGCTCGTGCTCTTGGTGTGAATTTTTTCGCTAAAGAATTCTGTTTCAACATAGAAGAACATCAACTGTTCAACGTGGTTTTTTCTCCCGAAAGTAGTCATCAATCAGTAGATGCATATGCTTTTATAAATGGCATTGAGATCATCTCGGTGCCTGCCAGACTTTCGTACTTCCATGGTGGAGATTACGACACTGCACTTGAAGTAGTACACCGGTCGGAGATCAAACCAAATCCGGCCCCATTTGATGGAGATTCGGACAATATATTTCCTAAGTGGGCAACCCGAAAAGAAAATGAGAGAGAAGACAACACCTGGAAAATATCGGTGGATGTGGGATTCAGGTACTTGATCAGGTTTCATTTCTCAGAGCTGGGATTCAAGATTGCAGGGAGAGGTGATGTGTCGTTTAAAGTGTTTGTCAATGAAATGATTGCTCAGACTACTATCGACATTGTAAAAGGAAGTGATGAAAACAGCATTCCCCTCTATAGGGACTACACGGTGATGATGAGAGGCCACAAAAACGAAGGTAAACGTAATCTCCTGATTTCTCTACAGTTGTGTGATGAACTTATAGATGTTCGTGGACTACTGTCACATTTAGAGATATTTAAATTGAGCAATCCTGACAACAATCTTGCTAGCCCGAATGCTTTGCCTTCGGCTTTGGACTCGTCATCACAGACTCGACAAACTTCTTTCTTGAACACTAACATTGGCAGTAAAAATGTGATCGCAGCTATTGCAATAGCTGTAGTTTGTCTGGTAAATGTTATTGTTCATAAGTTTTGCGTAATTTGGGAAACTAGAAATATTGTGGAGGAAAACAAGCCATCAGCCAGGGCTGAACAACTCTGTCGCCGCTTTTCGTTAACTGAGATCCAATTAGCCACCAGAGATTTTAGTAGTGGACTTGTAATCGGAAGAGGTGGATTTGGTAAAGTGTACAAAGGCCTCATTGATAATGGACAAGTATTTGTTGCTGTGAAGAGGCTGAAACCAAATTCTCATCAAGGGTCGCACGAGTTTCTGACCGAGATTGAAACACTTTCAGAGCTCCGACATGTGAATCTAGTTTCTCTAATTGGTTACTGCAATGATCATGGAGAAATGATTCTTGTTTACGACTTTATGGCTGGAGGAACACTTTCTGATCAGCTCTATAAACTCGAAAGGGGTGGCTATAGTTGTTCTTCGCTCACATGGAAGCAGCGTCTTGATATATGCATAGGAGCTGGTCGTGGACTGGACTATCTTCACACGGGCAATGGAGTCATACATCGAGACGTAAAACCTTCAAACATCCTGCTAGATGAGAATCTTGTAGCTAAGGTTGCTGATTTTGGCTTGGCCAAAACTGAAGACAGGAGCAATTTACATAGCCATATTAGCACAAAAGTAAAAGGCACATATTGGTACATGGACCCACATTATCATAAGACCTCTGAACTGACGAGGAAAAGCGACTCGTATTCCTTTGGGGTGGTGTTGTTGGAAGTATTATGTGGGAGACCGGTATTGGATTCAAGGGCACAAGGGGAAGAGCGGATTCTGCCCATTTGGGCTCGATCTAAAATTAGTGAGGGGAAAGTTGATCAGATTGTGGCTTCAAGTCTCAGAGAGGAAATTTCAGTAGATAGTTTGAAGACATTTGTTGGAGTTGCCGAAAGATGCTTGCACGATGAACCCAAGAATCGGCCAACAATGTCCCAAATTGTGCTGCAACTTGAGTTAGCATTGGAGCAACATGAGAGCAGACAACCTTTGGTACTAAATGAGATAGCTAGTGAACAACAAGAGAGCAAAGAAGTATTGGAGTTAAATGGGGTAGCAAATTCTTCTGACGAAATCGGCCTATCACGCCAGTCAACAACGGTCTCCAATAGTGTTGCAGAAATCACACCTTCTCCAAAAGAACAAAGAAACAGCAAAGTAGTTAGCCTTCCATCTGGAAAAAAACATGGGAGAAAAGCCACAATAAATAAGCCATCACGACTTTGGCCGTGGGATGCGCTTTGGAGCAAAGTTAAATCATCCAAGAAAATTGAGTTATTGCTATCAGGTATGGGCACATTAAACTCCACAAATGTGTTATATCCTTGTTTTATTTTTACAACTATTGGTGGTACTTTACTAATAACGTTGTGTTTTTGAAATATTTTATTTGTTGTCCTTTAGCCAAATCTGTTAACAAGGAAACTGCAGAAACTTTTATGCCTGCAGCAGCAGACATAAAAGTGTTCGATTGGGATACAATCCTCGCTGGCACAGAGCAATTCTCCTTTTCAAATAAAGTTGGACGAGGTGGATGGGGCACTGTTTATAAGGTCACATTGTAAAATGATATGTTCTACTCTTTTCCTCTACCATATAGGATAAGATGGTAACTGAAGTTTCCCCTAATAAACTATTATTATTTATGTAGGCTATGTTGCCACCTTCAGGACAATTAGTTGCAGTTAAAAGGTTGTCAACATCTTCTAGACCAAAAAGCCTCAACATATTCAAAAACGAGATTCTCTTGCTTCCCAAACTTCAGCATCCGAACATCATCAAACTGCTTGGCTATTGCATTCATAAAGAAGAAAAGTTGCTTGTATATGAGTTCATGACAAACTCAAGTCTAGATTCTTTTATATTTGGTTGGTGCTTCAACAACTCAATTTCTTGATTTCTATATATACTTACTAATAGTACTGTTGACTATCAACTGAATGAACTAACTAACTGATTTAGGCATACACAAGAGTCCCCTTCCATGGTCCTTACGCTTCAAAATCATAACGGGCATTGCTCAAGGAGTTGTTTATCTTCATGAAGATTCAGGACTAAGAGTCATCCACAGACATCTTAAATTAAACAATATTTTGCTCGACTTTGATATGAGTCCTAAAATTTCCGACTTCACCATAGCTAGAACATTGACAGAACATCAATGTACGTGTGAACTGAAAACCTCAATAGTTGGGACCATGTAAGTACATTATCTCCCTGCATTTTCTTTTTTCCTTATCAGGAATATTATGTGTTAATCTGTCTGTGCAGTGGCTATATACCTCCAGAAATCTTTACGGGAGGTACGTTTTCAGTGAAGTCGGATGTTTACAGTTTCGGAATCATAGTCTTGGAGATGGTGAGTGGCAAGAAAAGTTTCAATGCAACTTATAAAGAACCCATGGAGTTCCCTCTTCACTATGTAAGTAAATTAGTCCTTTTAAAATGATAAAAATGAAAGTAGTGCATGGATTGTTGCATGTAAGTATTATAATATACCTCATTCCCATTATATATATATATATATATATATATATATATATATATATATATATGATCCAATTGAGACTTTACAGGCGTCGAAGTTGTGGAAAGAAGGGAGGCCATTAGAGATGGTAGACAAATCACTTTTTGGGGTATTTTTGGCTGATGAAGCTCTGAGATGCATTCAAGTTGGTCTTTTATGCACCCAAAACGAACCAAAGTACAGACCGACTATGCCTTGTGTGCTCAAAATGTTGCAAGGGCAGGACCTAGAAATGGAGCTCCGTGTCGAGCAAAGGCCACAAATAGATGATGATGATGATGATCTGTCGAGCGACAGTTTCAATGCCGATGATGGACTTGTGACTAATGCAACATTTGAACTTGATGACACGCTCGAGAGATAGTAAAATATTGATCGGAGATGATAAGTTATTTGTGATGGGATCTCATACCCTGCAAGAGTGAAATACACAGGGCTCTTTGATTGAATTGAGGAAAATAGTAGGCAAAATAGTGAAATTATTTTGTAGAATTCAGTTTTTTTGTTTGATTTATAGATAGAATGACAAGTATTTGTCAGGGGCTTTTTGTAATTAAGCCAAAATTCAGGGGGGATTTTGTAATTTAGACCCATGTGAAAAAGAAAAAAAAAATTATTACTGCTTCTAATACATGCTAATAAATATAAATATAGATAGTAAATGAATTTGTACATATACAATACAACCATATATTTTGTTCACACCCATACTGGTACTAGGCAACTGGTTTGTTCACACCTGACTTGGCAAAGTCAACACAAAGTCAATGCGGTCAACTATTGCAACTTCCCAGTAAGTGTTTGATCAAATCTTTATTACCGACCATTCCCACCATATTCCATAAACAAAAACAAAAAAAATCAAAGGATGCAGTTACATCCAATTTCAATTCCTCTGCTACTTCTCTTCTTCCTCAATGCATTTACACTTACATCAACCACTGCTAGCAACAACAACCAAGCTACCGCCACAAGCCGATTTTCGATTAACTGCGGCTCGTTCGGCACTTCTGCAGCTCTCAATGGCAAGAAATGGACCGGAGATTCACAGCCAAAATCTCCTCCTTTGCTACAAATAAAGGGCAAATCAACCACCTCATCTCTCATCCACAAATTAATCTCTACAGATCCAATTCCGTACAAAACTTCAAGAATCTCTCATTCCCAATTCTCCTATGTATTCCAAGTCAACCCGGGTCAGAAAATTCTCCGACTTCATTTTAACCCGTCTCCGTATAAAGGTTTCAAACGGTTTACGGACTTATTCACCGTCGAGGCAGGACGTTTTGTCCTGCTAAATAACTTCAGTGCTTCATTAGCAGCTGCTGCTCTTGGTGTGAACTCTTTCTCCAAGGAATTCTGTTTAAGCATAGAACAAAATCAAGGACTGAACGTAACTTTCTCTCCTACTGAGAGTACACAGTCACAAGATAGTACAACTTACGCTTTCATTAATGGGATTGAAGTTATCTCAGTCCCTATGCATCTTTCTTACTTCAATGAAGGTGGAGAAAAATTCGGAGCAGCCCAAGTGGTCGGCCGAAAGTCGGTGGTCTATATTGACAACGGCACTGCACTTGAGTTGATTCACCGGTTGAATATCAAACGGGAGTTTGCTTCGTCGAACGATGATTTTGATGATATGTTTGGGATGTGGGGTCCTCCTCCGAAACCGAAAGCAACTGAGATCGATAATCTTGCGTGGAAAAAGCCGGTGGATGTTGGATTTAGGTACTTGGTTAGAATACATTTCGGAGACTTGGGACTCAAGACAGTTGAGAACTTTGAAATTTTTATTAATGAAATGAATGTTGATACGAAAATGGATGTAGTGAAAGAAAGGGATGAACGTAGCTTCTTCGTATGGTATAGGGACTACATGGTGGTGATGAGAGGTCAAAAGAAAGAGGGAAAACGGGATCTCTCGATTTCCATCCAATCGTACGATGGATTTATGATCGACGAAAATAAAATCGTTAAAGGATTTGAAATATTCAAGCTGAGCAACCCGGATAACAGCCTCGCCAGCCCAAATGCCGCCTTGCTTCCGCCAAAAGAATCGCCACCCTGGATCATGCAAAACATACTCTCAGTTCTTGGTCACAGAGACGCCATTGTTACGGTTGTAATAGTTATACTTTCTGTCGTAAATATCATTGTTTATAAAATGCAAGATATTTGGGAAACTAGTAGCACTACAGAGGAGGAAAACAAACCGTCGGCCAGGGCTGAGCGGCTCTGCCGCCGCTTTTCACTGGCGGAGATCCGATCAGCCACCGAAAACTTCAGCCGTGCACTAGTCATTGGAAGAGGTGGATTCGGCAAAGTGTACAGAGGGCTTATCGACAACGGGAGAGAATATGTTGCTATAAAGCGGCTCAAATCGAACTCGAAGCAAGGGAAGCACGAGTTTCTGACGGAGATCGAAACACTATCCGAGCTCCGTCACATTAATCTCGTCTCTCTAATTGGCTACTGCAGCGAGCGAAGAGAAATGATTCTCGTTTACGAGTACATGGCAAGTGGTACATTATCCGACCACCTCTACAAACTCGAAAGAGAGGGCTTTAGCTGTTCTTCTCTGACATGGAAGCAGCGTCTTAATATCTGCATTGGAGCTGGTCGAGGACTAGACTATCTTCACACGGGCCATGGAGTCATACACCGTGATGTCAAGTCTTCGAACATTCTCCTGGACGAAAATTTTGTGGCCAAGGTTTCGGATTTTGGTTTGGCGAAACATGAAAGTCGAAGCAAATTACAGAGCCATATTAGCACAAAGGTTAAGGGCACGTTTGGGTACTTCGATCCATATTATTATAGCACCCATAAATTGACGAGGAAAAGTGACACGTATGCGTACGGTGTGGTGTTGTTGGAAGTACTGTGTGGAAGACCAGCTTTGGATCCAATGGTTGGAGAGGATAAGTATCTTTTGACAAAATGGGCTCGAAATGGAATTAGTAAAGGAGAGGTTGATCAGATAGTTGATTCGAGTTTAGTCGAGGAAATCTCACCACATAGCTTGAAGGTATTTGTTGAAATTGTTGAAATGTGCTTACATGACGAACCGAAAAAACGGCCAAGAATGTCTCAGGTAGTTGTACGACTTGAGTTTGCACTTGAGCAGCAGGATAACATAATAATATCATCGGTACCGAATCAGATAACTATTGTTGCTGATGAAGTCGGTCCATCGAATAAAGAAAATGCTTCGTCAGTTAGCACTGAGCAACCAATAGTAGTAGCCTCTGAACACGTGCAGACTCTTATATCTCTACCTAAAGAAAAAACAAACCGGAAATTGAGAAAATCGAAAATATATAAGCCGTTACGGTTTTGGACATGGGATGCATTTTGGAACAAGGTCAAGCCAGCTAAGAAAAAAGAACCCAGCTTACTATCAGGTATATATATATTATTCACACGGCCACAATAATACATACCAACTTTTTTACATAACTTTAACTACGTAACGCAAACATATGACATTTATACAATTATCTTTGCAGGAATTTTGGAAGCAGATATAAACTTGCCGAAGTTCGACCTGGCCACGATCACAGCTGCCACTAACCAGTTCTCCACTTCACATAGGGTTGGACATGGTGGATTTGGTTATGTTTATAAGGTGACTTTATCTTCTGTACTACAATTTTGTTTCTTTTTTCTTTTATTTTACCAATTTGGTCAAAAGCAAGTTTATCAGCTAATTCTACTACTACTTTGTATAGGCTGTATTACCTACAGGAAACACAGTAGCAGTTAAAAGATTTTCATATTCAAGGACAGCCGTCCATCAGTTCGATAGCGAGCTTCTATTGGTTTCCACTCTCCACCATAACAACATCATTAAACTAATCGGGTACTGCATTCACGAAGGAGGGATTCTTTTATACGAGTTTATGGAAAACGGAAGTCTAGACAAGTTTATATTTGGTTCGTGCCTTCGAAATAAATTCGTCACTTTAAAAAAAAAAGTTCAATTTTATGTCTTTTTTGAATTTGATGAACTAAAATTTGAACACAGATAAACTACGGAGTCATCAGCTTACATGGTCACTGCGCTTCAAAATCATCACTGGTGTTGCTAAAGGAGTTGTTTATCTTCATCGAGATTCGGGGTTGAGAATTATACACAGAGATCTCAAATCCACCAATATTTTACTGGACACCGAAATGAACCCAAAGATTTCAGGCTTTGGGTTTGACAGAAAATTTGAAGATGATCAATCTGAAGTGGAAACAAAAATTGCCGGCACCTTGTAAGTATTGTCAGGATACATACCCTATCATTCTTATTATCGTCTTCCGAGTTATAAATAATGATGTTTTTCCCTGTTATTTGTGTTTGCACAGAGGTTATTTGGCTCCAGAATATATGATGGAAGGGAGACTTTCAGATAAGGTAGATGTGTTTAGCTTTGGACTTATTGTGCTCGAGACTTTGAGCGGGATGAGAAATGTGGGACACGGCCTACACCTCATTGAACAAGTAAGTTTCGGGAGCCTTTTTACGAATATTACTTACAAATTCAAATCTAAGCTCAAAGTAGTAAACGGTGATAATTTTCAGCCAAATTAAACCTCTAGTGCAGTCTTTTAGCTACTATAACATCAAGTGAACTATGCTCAGCAAACTTAATACCTCGTTTAAATCATTCGCAAAAGCCGTACCTGATTATATCACTAGGCTACCCTCATTCAGGGCTTCTGAGTTCTAACGTAGTTTGTTACTAAAAGAGGAGAAATAACAATGACAAAATAGTTATTGCAAATGCCACCTGTCTTTTCAAACCATATCACAATATATTGTGCTCCACATGTATATATGAAAAAAGGCGGTCGTTATATGCAAGCCCATTTTTTTATTAGTTCAAAACCACATAAAGGAGTTTATTAGTTGAAGTCCGCAAATTAATCTAATTTTATTACATCAAGACCAAAGATGACAAATATACCCTTATCCACAAATAATGCTCAAATAAATAAATCTTATTTTTTATTTGTTCAAGACCAAAAATAAAAAAAAAATAAAAAAAAATAAGAAATATCACAACTGTCAACCAGCGAGACTTTCACCGCACCGGCGATGACCAGCGACCCACCCACTGCACGTCTGCACCATTGCTACCACCAACAAGTAAGTCCATTTTACTAAACTTTTGTTTGTAAATTCGAAAACATTAATCGAGCATCGATGTCCTTTTTACAAAATATTTATTTGTAAATTCGAAAACATTAATCGAACATTGATTCTTGATAAATATGTATGAATGAACATTAATCTATGCTTATTTCTTGTTGGGTTGCAATGATTTGGCCGATTTTGGAAAAAAAATTGAGATTGAAATTGTTTTTTTTTTTTCGTTGGTTTTCGAAATCGGTTTATCCATACCGATTTTGTACACGAAAATCGGCGTCATAATACCGATTTTTGTTAACCAAATCGGCGACACAACGTCGACTTTACAAGTCAAAATCGGCGTTCTAATGTCGATTATTGAGTACAAAATCGGTTTTCGAATATCGATATTTTTTGATTTTTTTAAATAATACATTATATATTTGGTTAATTGATATTTTTTAAATATTTGGAACGAAAATGTTTATCACCATTCGGTGACGTCTACCACGCCTTTAACCCAATCGAGTAGTGCTTTCCGTATCTCAAATATTTATTCGTTAGATAATTCATTTGAATAATCCTCCATCAATCCCCTAGGTTGATGCACGAAAATATAAGAAAACGGTCTTAAAAAAACACAGATAATAAAATCGGTATTTAAAAACCGATTTTTATAGTACAAGTCGGCATGACAATACCGATAATACAAAAACAAATCGGTGTTGTCATCCCGATTTTTACTACAAGAATCGGTGTTTAAGTACCGATTTTTATTAAAATAATTGGAATGTGGTTCCCGACTTTAGTAACAAAATTCAGTATTTGCAGACCGATTTTTTGTATCGTCGAATTTTTTTCCCAACAAAAAAAACGACCCAAAAGCAAAAATAAAGGGTTAAAACATATTTCATTGTGTTCTCCACCCTCGTAAACCACCATATCATTGTTTTCTAGTTCCATCGTGAATGTTTGGTATGTATTTGATAATTTTGGTGTGTAGGATTTCTTTGTGGGTTTGTGAAGAAGAAGGAGAGTTTTAAGTCGTGAAATAAGGAAGAGGGGTTTCTGGATTTATGTATTTTATTTGGTCTTGCACAAAGGAAATGATTTCTTTTTATTTTTTTAATGTTTTGTGTTTTTTATTTGATTTTAAATTGCATTAAGGGTAAATTAGTATTTTTATTTTGAAGGTCTTGAATTAATAAAAAAATGGGCTTGCATATAACCGCCGCCATGAAAAAAATATTGAAGTAAATGAACATTTTAATAAAATATTTGATGATCTTATGAAAGAAGTAAGAATAATACGTCAATCTAAATATGGAGTGGTGTTTGAGTGACGTTTTCTAGTATATGAGTTATTTGATATATCATCATGCATACATTACGATACGGTGAATTTTCAGGCATGGAAGCTGTGGAAAGAAGGGAAAGCATTAGACCTGGTAGACGAATCCATTAGAGGGGGAGTTTCGGAGGATGAAGCACTGAGATGTATACAGGTCGGTCTTCTATGCACCGAATACGATCCGAATCATCGGCCAACAATGGCTTCCGTGCTTAAGATGTTGCTCGGAGAAGATTTATCCCTACAAGAGAAAATAACCGAAAGATCAGCTTCTCATAATGCCGTTATCGAAAATGAAGATCCGGTTAACTCGAGGAATTCAAACCCAATGTTATCATTTTTGTTTCCAGAACTTGTCAAGAATGAAGATAACAATGACAGTACTGCAACTTTCGAATACGACTCCGAATTGGAAAGGTGAGCTCTGTTTATGCTGCATTGTTCGTTCTACTCGTGCTGGAGTATTTTGCTACACTTCTTTTTCCTTTGCTTTTGCTTTTGTCTCACTTTGGATGTGGCATTTAATCAAACACATTGACTGCATATTCCATAGAATCACACTACAGCATCAGAAGCAACAAAATTTGCGATCACTGTAATGTAAGAATCGAAAAATAAATTAGATTGGGGGAAACCTAATGCAAAATCAGTTGGTGGATTTATGCTATATAATTTGTTTTGAATGCTCGGTTCCTAATCCCAGGTATTTTGACATGGATTTGTATGTATATTATGTAATATGATGATGAATATACAAAACCTAGTGGCGGCAAATCACAACCGAATCCCGAATTGAACTAGTTCCCGGCGGCCTCCGCCGGAATCTGGGTCGCGCAATCAATTAAACTGCGTCAGTTCATTAGTTCACCACCTTTATTTTTTCAGACGGGTCAAACAGAAAAGGTTCTGGGTAATTAAACAGATCTACATGGGTGACCCGACCCGAGTAGATAAGAATTAGGGGCTTAATCGCACTTTGCACCCTTGAATCATATCATTTTGCCACTTTACACCCTTGAAACAAATTAATAACACTTTGCACCCTAAAACACAATATACCATGCATAATGCACTCCACATGAGGTTTTAAAGTTAATAAAGGTAATTTAATATTTTTATTGGTATTTAAAAATTTATATTTTTTATCTCAAAAATATATTTTACGGAAAAAGAAAAATCCTTCAGCTATTTCGTAATCAAGTGATCAGAAAATCATATTGTCTTCCAAATATTTCTACCTAATATTTTCACAAATTACAAGAAAAGATCCATCAATCGAATTATTTAGAGATAAAAAGTTATTTTATTTCATTTTGTAAGATGTTTTTTTTTTCAATAATTCGTTGTGATTTTTATTTTTTTCACACTTTGTGCGCTCGAAATTAGATTGGGGGTTTAAAATAGTAACAACTTAATTTGTTAATATGGACCCCCAAAAAAAAACCCAATAAAAATAATGGAATTCGACATTATTCAATTTAGGGTGCATTGTGAATGATTTATCGTGTTTTGATGGAGCAAAATGTTGTTATTATTTCTCAAGTGTACAAATTGCCAAAAGTCTCTATTTCGAGGGTGCAAAGTGGATTAAGCCAAAATAAAATAATTAATAGCATACTAATTACTAATTAGATAGATTTGATAGAGATAAAATCAAAAGGGAAGGAAGATCCCATCTTTAATTAGTGAAATAGAGTAATAATAATTGATCGTCGGATGAAAAAATGATCCTACGGTCTTGCGTTGTCCACTTCTTTGTTTAATTTAACAGTATTACTCCATTTTGTTTGAAAAAACCCTAAGTCAAGGAAGTAAATCAATTCCTACCATAAAAAGTCAACGAAGATTAATAACAATGGCTTCCTCTACACTCCTCCGTATGGTTCCATGCAACGGCGTAGTATCTGCAAATCGGACCTCCAACTCTCACAACCCGTGGGTCGGATCTCGGATCCGTTTCACTACTACTCGGAAATGGGTAGCCGCCGGCGGATCTTCAATTCGGGCCGGGTCTTCAACTTGCGGTAATGCAGTTTCAGATAAATCAAGAACTTCGCCGTGGCTGATGCTACCGCCGTCTTTTGAAGAAACCACCGCCGGAGAAAATATGAAGTACAATTTCTACACCCTCGCCGAAGACAAATTAATCAGCGTCGACAAGGCACCACCACCACCGTCGGAAGAAGAAGAAGAAGAAGGTGCAGAATCGCCAGACGACGATGCTGTGATAGTGGGATCTTCACACGGCTGGCTAGTTATGTACAACCACTGGAGCACCGCCGCCATGTTCCTCTCCAATCCACTCACGCGCCGCCACATAAAGCTCCCCATCGCCGCTCCCCACCTCTGCCGTTTATCCTTCCCCGATTTATACGTCACCTCCCTCCTGGTGTCCAAGGTCGTTATCTCGTCCTCCCCCGACGCCGACGACGACGGCTGCCGGGCGATGATGACGTACACTCCAGAAAAACGGCTCGCCTTCTGCTGCCCGGGCCGCCGCCGCGGCGGCGAAACCGAGTACTCATGGACACCCATCGGAGAAGCCTTCCACACCTTCGACACCCTCCGGTACGCGCGGCAGTACGAGGACGTCGTCTACTCCGCACGGCACAAGCTCTTCTTCTGCGCCACCACCTACGGCGACTTCGAGTCCTGGGATCTCTCCGACCCTGAATCTCCGGCGATGACTCCGGTGATCCTCTCCCCCGACCCGGATAACTACCCATGGTCAGACCGGGCCTGGGAAACGATACAAGCCCTAGGTAAAATGTGCTCGTCTCATAAATTCCTGGTCGTTGACGAGAAAACCGGTCAACTCTACCACGTGAGGCGGTTCGTGAAGGACCGGGTTTACTCCAATAAGCTCTTACTCCACTACGACTCCGACGTGGAGTACGACGGTACGGATCCGTACATGACGGTTGGTTTCGATGTGCACAGAATCGACGTGGAGAAAGGGGAGTTGGTTTACATGGATGGTTCGTTGGGTGGTTTGGCAATCTTCGTTGGCTTGAATCATTCGTTTGCTTTGTGCGCCGGTGAATTCCCTGGAGTGAAGCCCGATTCCATTTATTTTACCGATGTGTTCAGTCCGCCGTATTGGGACGGCGGCGCGTACGGTGGACATGACGTAGGCATATATAATTATGTAGACGGTACTATTTCGCCTTGCTATTATCCCGTTGACGTGGAAAGCATTCAAAGGATTGTACCTTCTCCTATGTGGTTCACTCCAAATTACCAGCATTAGTTACGATATTTTTTTTATTTTATTTTATTAATTTTGAATATGAATTATATTATTAGGGGAGATGTAACACATTTTCAATTTGGATTTTCTTTTCCGTTTATTCGTTTTTCTTTATGGTAAATTCCACTTTTCCCTTGTACTTTGGTTTGGTTGCGTCGATTTTTCTCCGCACTTGAAAAATAATCTCAATGTGGCACTCGATGTTGGTTGTCACACATTTAATGTTAACATTGTTCGATCTAACTCTGAAATTACAAAACGCCACATCTCCCAGTTTAAATAAGTATTAAAAAACAAAAAATAAATAAATAAATAAAAATAAAAATAATAAAAAATTCAAGACAACGAGAAAACATAATCCACGATTCCAACCATAATTATTTTTTTATGTTTTTTTAATAATTATTTGAAATGGAAGGGGTGATTTTTTTGGAATTTTCAGAATTAAATCACGATGTTAAAGTCAAGGGTTTGAAAACTAACGACGAAGACCATATTGAGACAAATTTTCAGTACTAAGAGACAAATCGATGCAATCAAGAGTAGAAACTAAGTGATATTGAATCAAAATAAAGGGGAAAATGGAATCTACCTTTTTCTTTATTTGTATCATTTGGTGAGAGAAGAATATCAAATTGATTCCAAATCCATTTGGTGAGAGAATAATATATATATATATATATATATATATATATATATATATATATATATATATATATATATATATATTTCATTTTATTTATGGTAGTATATATATATATGAAATATTTTTAATATAAAAATAGGGTCCATTTGATATACATCCCCTCATATGGAAAATAAATAGGGATAGGTTCATTCTTAAAAAAAATTCTTTGACATAATCCCTTGGAGAGGGAAAAGTACTATTGTGCTCTTATTTGCAATTTTCGCCCAACTGCATTCAGTATTTTCGTTATTTTTTTGAATAAATATTTATTTTTTAGCTTTTTTTCTTCTGATTTTTTTTTCCCCGAAAAGTTCACTGTTTCGAATATGACTATATATGATTATATAAGACTATAGTCATGTACCCAAAGTTATGGTCGACCGATTATGTATATCGTTGATTTTATAAAACAAAAGTCATCTACATCACCAACAAAATTCAAAATTTGAATAATGATATTATAAATCAATTCGCACCCAAAAAAAATTGAAAAAAAACGCAATCATTATATCATTATACATCAGAAACACCACATAACTTAGCTTATATATGACTATATATAACTACATGTGAATATACATGACTATATCTATATGACAACATGTGACTATATATGACTACATGTATATGACTACATGTGACTATATATAAGAGTATAGTCATATATAGTGTAGTTTGTATTTATAGCTTCAAATCCCACTTTTCAACACGACAGCAACTCCGATCTATCGGTTGCAAAAGAACTATTTTGAATTGACGAACACCATGTCCTCTCGACAAAAAAATAGTGTCAGAAGTTGTTTAAACACCGAGACCTGTGACAAAAAATCAAGTTCAATTTAAATATTTACATTATAAATCAACTCATAACCAATAAAAGCAAATCAAAAACACAATCACATGCAAATGTTACTACATGTTACTATACGTTAATATGTATTACTAAATGTGTTTACATGTGCTTGATCATTAAGACGTGGAATCAACGAATTCATACATCTATAACATATCTATAGAAGATGATATATTGCTCTTAATCTTGGACTGGTTTCACAATACTATCAAAATCATGACTATTAGAGATAGTTCATACATCAATCAGACCTTTTATACATGAATTCAAATTCAAGGTGACAAATACTAGCACAAAAACATCGAGTGGATATCGTCGGTTGGGTAAAATTCATACATACTACATCATATCATTAACCGTTAACCATTAACCAGAGTAATTAAATCATGTCAAATCTATGTAAATTGTTAATCATAAGTAAATGATTTAGTAACTAAATTACTTAATCATCATTAATATTCAAACAAAGTTATAATTTAGGTCATGGAGAGTTGATGAAATTCGTAATATAAAAGAAGTACTCACGTCACTTCCGATGATGACAGCACCTTCGGCAAGAAACAGAGTCATCTGACGAGGAAGTGAAAGAGAAGATTAGGTGATAGGGTATTTATTGAATTGAAATTAAAGGGCAAAATGGGTATTTTGAGTTGCTCAGGGGTCTTACAAATTAAGATCAAAATTTAGTTTTATGACTAAAGAGAAAAAAATCATTGGACCTCCTCATATATATTTTCAAAACTAGGGGGTTATCACTCATTTACCCATAAAAATATAAATTGATACGGATCCTATGATTAATGAATAATTATATTACGTTTGAATTGGAAACTCATTTGAACTTATTTTCGTAACAAAAACCAATTGTGCTTATTAACCGTCATGAATTAGGCTATGTTTGATTGTCGCTTAATGACTATAGGATGTTATGGGAAATTAGCCAAAAGTCCCATATAAATGATGAAATTTCCTAAAGCCCAACTCAAATATTTTGTTTTCCTCACGAACCCATTAATTGTTGTGGATAAGTAATTTCTTACAAAAACACCCTTAACCCTACCAATACACAATCTCATCTATTGATCTTTGACCGCTGACTAGGACTCTGGCTGACCCTTGACCGAAATTGACCAACTATTAACGATGTGACTGGTCTTTCCTTTTTCTTTCGTTTCTCTTAAGCTTAATGTCAATTTATATTTTTCTACCTTTTTTTAATTACAGTATCAAATTTTACTGTCAGTTATCTTAGTGTTGAACCGATAGTAAGATAGTACATGTCACATATGAAAAAGAAGATCACAAAACTTTCTCACGTGGGAATTATTTTTGAAATTTTACATCCATTATATTAAAATTTCTCATTAAATACTAGTATCCTTATCTTATTGTGAGTTCGACAATAAGATTATGTATTCTTATTCCATATTGTTTTAAAATTCAAATTACGTATACAAATTATGTACTCGATGATTCATATTGCATTAGAAAGAAGAGAACAAGTTAATTGTACGAGTTTCAAACACATACAATAAAAATAAATAAAGTGCATATAAGAAAAAAGATAAGCTACTACAATAGAACATCGATAAATTAATGTCCTCAATGAAAACGTGTTCAATTATTAACTCGATAATTTAATAATTCGCTAAATTAATAGAATTTTCCTGGTCCCGACCGTATTAATCAATAGAGATTTAACCGTAATTATAAAAACTTGTTAAACTAAAGGAGGCGGATTAAACCACATTGGTGGTGGGACGATCCTCTTTATCTTGTCGGCACCGGATCTCCCCGGCATGAAAATTTGGTTGACGGTGAAGCATCTTTCCTCAATGGGATAAAAGCACGGCGAGAAATCCCTCTCCACGTAATCGAAGATGCCGATATCATGCCCACCGTACGGAGAATCTTTATCCCAGTACGGCGTAGTATACTCCTTGGCGTCGGTGAAGTAAATGCAATTAGGTTTCAGTTTCCCTTTGGCCGCGTTAACGTGGATCGCAAACCCGTGGTTGACTCCGATGAACATAGCCAACCCGTCCAAGGAAGTTTCCATGTACCTCATCTCTCCTTTCTCTCTCTCGATTTCGTGAACGTCGAACGACATAGTCCGGTACGTAATCATCATCTCGTTGTTACTTTTCACCTTCCCGTGGCCGCCGGGGTACATTTGATCGCATATGAACCGGCGAATGAGAAAGAGTCGATTATCGTGCTCGGAAACGACGAGGTATTTAATTGAATGGCAGTCCCTTTTAAGTAGGGCTTCGTCCAATCTACCGGCCGAGCCCCACGGGAAATTCTTCTTGTCGGCAGAGAGGGTTATCGGAATACTCCTAGGGTTTTCGGGGTTTTGGAGATTCCAAGCCTCGAAATCCCCGAAACACGTGACGCAGAAGAAGAGTTTGTGCGCGGCGGAGTAGACGATGTCCTCGTACGCCCTCTCGAAGTACTTGTCGTCGAGAAAAATGAAGGGTTCTCCGATGGTGGTCCACTCTGCCGCCGCTGCGGCGGCGGCGGGGCGGCAGAAGGCTAGCTTTTGAAGTGAGTGGTGTATTATCATTACGCGGAAGTCTTGTTCTTCTTCGTCGTCGTCGGAGATTATGAGTTTGCTGATTGCGTTGTCGTCGCCTGCTTCGATGCTCGGGAGATTTATGCGGCGGTCGGAGATTGGGTTGTAGAGAAATTGTTCGCCTTTGGTCGGATTGGACAAAGCCAGCCACCCGCGTGAATTAGATCCGACGTATTTTTCCGGCAACTCTGGTTTTACTTCCGATGATTGTGATTTGTTGTTGTTGATTTTGTGTACTTTGTCTTCGGCGAGGCTGTAGAAATTGTACGTGATGCTGTTATCTCCGTCTTCAATAGACGGCGGTAGCATCAGCCACGGCGAAGTTCTTGATTTGTCTGAAACTGCATTGCCGCAAGTTGAAGACCCGGCCCGAATTGAAGATCCGCCGGCGGCTTTCCATTTCCGGGTAGTAGTGAAACGGATCCGAGATCCGGCCCACGGTTTGTGAGAGTTGGAGGTCCGATTTGCAGATACGACGCCGTTGCATCCATTGCATGGAACCATACGGAGGAGTGTAGAAGAAGCCATTATTAAAATGCCAGGAATTAATTTAATTCCTTGCTTGAATTAGGGTTTTGTAAACACAGTGTCTTAAAGAAGAAGAAGAAGATAACACAAGACCAATGATTTACTCTATCTCGCTAATTAAAGATGGGATTGTAATTACCATCTATTTATTATCTCTATCAAATCTATTTAATATCCCAATGCTATTTGAAGTATTAGTTATTTACATTTTCATCCACATTCACGTTAATTGTCTCTATAAAAACGGTCATTGCGATGTTACCCCTCTCTGAAATATATCGGGTGATTTTTAAATTTTAATTGTTCATGCATAGGGAAAGTCGGATGATTTTACATCGCTGTGAAATGTATCGGGTGATTTTTTTATTTTAAATTCCCCACTACGTACACATATACACATAAGTATGTGTAGGGATGAAAGTCGGATGAATCGGACCGAAATTAGCCTTTTTGGAAGAAAACAAAAATTAAAATTTTCGGAATCAATAAATTCATTCCAATTCTAAAAGACCCGAAAATTTCGGAATTTCGGAAAAATTTCGGAAATCAAATAAGTTTTGAAATAGGATAAATTACACTTTCACTCCTTGTACTTTGGCTCGATATCACCTTACCACATTGTACCCTCAATTGCATCTATTTGTCACCTTGTATTTGAAAATTTGTCTCAATATGACCCTTGCTGTTAGTTTTCAGACATTTGACCGTAACACCGTTTGATCTAATTCTGAAAATTACGAAAAAGCCACCCCTCCCAGTTTAAATAATTATTAAAAATTAAAATAAATAAATAAATAAATCATGGTTGCCATCGTGGACTATCTCGTTTTCTTGGATTTTTTATTCTTTTTTTTTTGGTCTTATTATTTTTTTTTTTTAATAATTATTTAAATTGGAGGGGTGGCGTTTTTATAATTTCAGAGTTTAGACCGAACGGTGCTAAGGTCAAATGTCTGACAATTACCACCAAGGGCCACATTGACCCAAAATTTGAAGTGCAAGGGGGAAAATCGTTGCAATCGAGAGTAGAAAGGGGTAAAATGATACCGAGCCAAAGTACAAGGGGTGAAAGTGGAATTTACCCTTTTAAATATCAAAACTTAACGAAAATTTTCTGAAAATTTCATAATTTTCCAAAAATATGAATATCCACGTCGATAAAAGTAAAACTAATAACTATTAAGTTTCAGTTCCAAAAAATAAATGAAAATAAACCACAACATAATATCCAATAAAACTTCAAACAACAATTCAATATGTTCAAATCCTAAAACAAAACATAAATCAAATTACTAACAAAACAAGAAAAAACTTAAAATAAATATTTTATAATATTATATTATTTATAGGTGTATTTTTCGGAAGAAAATCGAAAATTTTTGGATTTAATTTTGGAAATCAAATCGGATCGGAAATTGGTATTGTTTTATATAATTTCAATTACAATCCAAAAAATCGGAAAAAAAAAAGTTGAAAATTTGAATTTTGGAAGTCAGAATGAAAAAAGTTGTTCTAAAATCGAAATTTCGGAAATAGGATAATGCAAAATGACTTTTAGTTGAAAGTGGGTATAACTATTAAGTGAATATATTTTTATTCTGTAAATTTAATATTATGGGTAATATGCATGACATCCCTTAAATCAAACCTAATTAGATTTGAATAACAACCTCAATTAGAATATTTGAACTAAATCCTTATAAGTTTAAAACAAAATTTTACATAAATTCTTTTATTTTCTTTTAACCCAAAATACCATTAATACACCTAATAAAATATCATGTAATTCTCTCTCTCTCTCTCTCTCTCTCTCTCTCTCTCTCTCTCTGCCACAACTCCTCTCCTTCTCTCTCTTTCTTTTCTTCTCGTTCTATATTATTCCACCCACCATCTGCCCTTTACTCTATTTTTTTTTTCTTTTTATGATCTTTAGTAGATTTTTGATGTTTTGAAAAGGAGAACCACAAATCTGCTACCAGCGGTGGCGGCAATTCCGGAAAAGCTTTGCGCGGCGGCGTTGAGGACCTAGGTTTGGTGCGGAAGGGGCGATTGCATCACCGTTTGTGCGTTTGGTAATGGGGCAGCAGGGAAGGGTTGTTGATTCGACATCGTTGATCTTCTTGTTGCACGTTTTCGACGGCGACTAGGGCTCATTGTGAATTCATGGTATGTGTGTGTCTAATTTCTTACGAGGCGATGACGGCTCAACGGTGGTCGGTCTTTAATTTGTCTGCTGGCGGCGCTCGGGTTTAAAAGGGTGAAATTAGAATTTTCAAAATGACTACTGTAGTCTACGGGGTCTGACGGCGTTGTAAATCAAAAGATCGGAGCTGAGGTTCAAGAGGGCGTATCTAGGGTTCCAGGATGACTATAGTTGTCTACGAATTACTACAAATGACTATGGGTTACTACAGATGACTACGGATTACTACAAGTGACTATGGATTGCTACGGATGAAAGTGATATACATATATTAAGAGTGGGCTATAAAGTTGGATACATGACTTAGATGACTATAAATAATTACGTAACTATGGATGACTATATTATGATTAATATTCAGCATTTATCGATAAAAATCAACTAAATAGTAGTTAAGAATATATAAAGAAAATTAAAAAATATGAAAATATTAATTTTCAATATTATATCAGACAAATAAAAAAATACGAAAAAGAAAAAAAAAATGAAAATGTTAAATGTTAAATGTAAAATAAGAAATGATAAATGCAATTTAAATATTACTTGGTGCAGATTTCATTTTTTGTATAGGAGGGCATTTTTTGGAGTAAATTGCAAATACTACCCCTGTGTTATCTCGAAATAGCAAAAACCCCCCTATGATAAATAAACTAGCAAAAACCCCCCTGTGAAATTTAGTCAAAGGCAGAATCCCCCCTAGCTGATTTTTTAGACTTGAAATGACAAAATTGTCCCTCAAAATGTATTTATATATATTCATATTATATGTATATTTATTCTTTTTAATTTATTTGTTTAGAAATTAAAAAAAATAGTAAACAACTAAATTGATTATTTTTTAAATAAAATAATTAAAATATTTATAAAATATAAGAATTTATTAATTGCAAGACTCCAGGGGTATTTGTGTCTTTTTATATCAAGTCAACCCTCAAATAGTTCCATAGGGGGGTTTTTGCTATTTAAATAATTTCACAGGGGAGGTTTTTGCTAGTTTATTTATCACAGGGGGGTTTTTGCTATTTCGAGATTATACAAGGGTAGTTTTTGCAGTTTACTCGCATTTTTTGGAATGAAATTTATAAAGGATGTGAAGCAAATATTTAGTTTGACTTGTCATTTAGTTCAAATAAGTTTTGTCACCAAAGACCTATATCTTAAGGCCCCTTAATATTATTGCGGTAATGGATGTAGCAATAAATAAAGTATAAATCAAAATTTGAACAAAATGTAAGTTGATTTTTTCAAATGTAAGTACAATACTCCCACGCACATAAATGGAATCGAGCTATGGATCTACTACAAGAAAGAAATAATTATAACTGAAGGTTGTAAAATGTGGGAATTGGGTCGGAGATGGTTAGGTAGTCACTCACGATTAATCGATGTGGCGGTAATTAATCGTGATAAATTGGAAATAAATTAATATTTCATATTTAATAGGGCATATTACAAATAAGCCCATCAGTGGGAACTTATTCATAAAGAGATCCAGACAATATTCTCCTTTACCAATAAGTCCACACATGGTCCAGATTTATGTAAAGGACTAAAATAACCCCTCTTACTTTTATATGCTCCAATTTCATCCTTAACTTAATTTAACTTCAATTTGACCCCAAATTTCACAAATTATTCAATTTTGACCCAAAACTTTTTTTTTTTCACAAATTTTTTTTTCCCGCCGGATTCCGGCGTTGACCGGCGGTTAACGCCGGTTTCCGGGGTTGACTTTTTAAAATTTTTTTTTTTTTTTTTTTTCCTTCCGGATTTTTTTTCCGGATTCCGGCGTTGACCGGCGGTCAACGCCGGTTTCCGGCGTTGACTTTTTTTTTTTTTTTTTTTTTTTTTTTTTTTTTTCTTCCGGATTTTTTTTCCGGATTCCGGCGGTCAACGCCGGTCTCCGGCGTTGACTTTTTATTTTTTTTTTTTTTTTTTTTTTTTTCTGTAACTTTTTTTTCCGTTTAAACAGCAATATTGCTGTGAATGACAGTAATATTAACTATATTACTGTTAAACACAGTAAAATTAACTAAACTATAGTTTAACACATTGATATTGCTATATTAATCTCTAGCACATTAATATTAACACAACAAAATTCATTATTATTGTATAATAAAGTAATATGACTATGTTGTCCGTTCAACAAATGTAAACAAAATAAAAAAAACCAAAAGAATTAATATTACTGTGAGTGACAGTAATATTACTATAGCAACAGTAATATTACAATAGTAGACAGTAATATTATTACGTTACTTCGTGAATAACTCGAACAAAACAAACACCCCAAAAAAATAATAATATTGATGTTGTTGACAGTAATATTATTGTGTTTACAGTTATTTTACTGTCAACGACAGTAATATAATTACGTTGACTTGTCAACAAATCAAAAAAAATAAAAAAAAATAATAATAAATAAAAAAATATAATATTGCATTAATTTACTGTCAACGGCAGCACAATTACATAAATGTAATGTCAACGGCAGTACAATTACGTTAATTAACTATCATTGACAGTATAATTACGCTAAATTACTGTCAGTGACAGCACAATTACGGTCAACGTGTAGCGGCGGGCGTGGAAAAACAAAACAAACCAAACAAAAAAAAAAAACTTAAAAAAACACTAAAGAAAGAGACCGCCGGAAACCGGCGAAAAAATCCGGAAGAAAAGAAAAGAAAAAAAAAAAGAAAAAAGAAAAAAAAAAAAAAAAAAGTCAACGCCGGAGACCGGCGTTGACCGCCGGTCAACGCCGGAATCCGGAAAAACCGGCGTTGACCGCCGGAGACCGGCGTTGACCGCCGGTCAACGCCGGAATCCGGCGGCAAAAAAAAGTTTTTGAAAAAAAAAAATTTTTTGAAAAAAAAAAAAATTTTGGGTCAAAATTTAATAATTTGTGAAATTTGGGGTCAAATTGAGATTAAATTAAGTTAAGGATGAAATTGGAGCATATTAAATTATACTCCAAAAAAAAGTCAAAATTGAATTTTTGTGGTCAAAATTGAACTTTTATGGACAAAATTGATTAATTTGGATTACAATTAAGAATTGGGTATAAATGATTGAGGGTAATATTGGGATATACATGAATGTTTCCTTTAGTTATAATAAATATTAAAGGGATGGGCTTATTGGTGAAAGAGATATGTCCCCTATACCTAGAATAATAAACATGCTTGGTTGGGGACTTTTGCATAAAAATCCCTATTTAATATAACTATTTCTTGATATTATTTGTAAATACTATATATATATGATATACCTAAATGGGCCGGCCCAGTGGGCCCTCAAATTTATCTACTAATTAGGCCCACTACACGAAAGCCCAAGTAAGACTTGGGCCCAACAAAGCAAGTCCAACCCAATCACCGATATATAAATAGATGTTTTACTCATTTGTTAAGGTACGTTCTAATTATTCACAATCAACCTCGAGTTTTATTCTCTCTACTATCTCTACGATCCATACAGGATTTCGATGCCATGGAGGGGTTTCCGCCGGATCAACCCCCGGCTTAGTTCACGTGTGCTCATTTTGTAGAGACCTCAGGATCATCGAGTTGACTAGCTACTGATCAGCTTTGCTCTCCCAGTTCGTTTTCTATACTACTCCGGTGAGCTATATTTTAGCATCATCAATATATATATATATATATATATATATATATATATATATATAAAAGAAAGAAACGCTGGACAACCCTTAAAAACCCTAATGGTAATTCTGTAATTATTTATTTTTAATATTTTTTCTGTACTAATTTTCAACAATTATCAATTTCTTATTCTTCATCAATATATCTCAAATCTTAATAGATAAAGATAGAAATTCGATTTGTTAAATCTAAACCTATATATTTGGATTATAAATCTTAATATGTAAATTTTAAAAAAACTAATGTTATATAAAATATGAATAATACTACATTATTAAATTTACTATGTTAATATACTATATTTTCTTATTATGTATTAAATTGATTTTTTTTTTCACTTTTGAAATAATATCCCGTGCATCGCACGGGGAAAAAATGCTAGTATATATAAATATATAAACATAGTCCTATACCATGATCTATATATTTTAATTACATAACAAAAGTTTAATAATAATAAGATCATAATACAATAAAAATTCTTACAAATACAAATAAAACCCTTTTTGTTTCTGCATTCAGAATTATGTTTGAACATTGCGAGCATAGTCCTTTAAAGATAACATTAATCATTAACTCATTTTTCATTAAAATCCAATGGTTTTTATTTTTATTTTCTGGATTTATTAAAAAAATCGATTTTTGACCAATTTTTACCATTAAAGTTTGATCATTCTTCAAAGTTTGACTGCCACAACCGCCTCGGACCGCCCCACATGCCAAAATCCAACTTTTCAAACATTTACACCAAAATTATAAAAGTATTCAACCATCTCGACTTATTTTTAGAACACTAGAATTACCACTCGAGCACAAAGTTAGCAGTTGATGATGTATGCATTAATTAAACAATTTGTTGTATATTTGTCTTAATAATTCATAGTATGGATATTTAAAAAAAAAATCAAGTTTATGAAAACACACACACACACAAAATAAAGTTACACAGGGGGGAAAGAAAAGTTATAACCACATTTAAATGACTAATAATAATTATAATAAAAATTATATTCTGTCTTTCACATTGTGGGAGTACTCCAAACAAACTTTTTCCCACCTTTGGCAGAAAATATGTTATCATATCTCACTGGGCTTATTCAGACCACATAACATTATATATTCAGACCAATTTGATCTTCATATGTCTGCATCATTGCATTTATCTATCTGCTTATCTGCTGCACACTTGTGCTACCTTGCTTGCTTTTTTCCCTCACATTCTTCAACCTACAAATTCAAGAAGCACAAATGAAAAACGATAAAATAATTAGCGACGATAAATTTATCGATATAAGTATGTACATTGAGGTACAATGGTAAAGGGACTTGTGCATTCACTTTGCAGAAGAAGATACGAAAACGATAAAAAGCAAATTCGCGGGCGCGCATGTAATCTATTGACAAGGGACCACCAAGATATTTTTATTGCGGAATCATTAATTACATGTTTATAAGCATATTATTTAATCCTAAAAGGAGCATATAGTAATTAGTACTATGTCGTACGAGACTAGAAAGACAACTCGAGAGGATCGTTTTTTAAAAGAAGTGGGGGTTTAATTTGAAGAATATTGAAAGTAAATTAAAAATCCTCAGCATCCAAAGGACATATATTTTAAAGTGTACGGTACGCTAAAATCAGAGGTCATTCTTAACCGAAGGGATTTAAATCGGATGGTCCTTTTTGTTTCTTTGCTTTAATTCTTTAGCAAAATATCGGTCGGAAACAAGTCTTCAAGAGAATTAATACCATTTAATTTCTACACTTTAGAAAAAAAGAAATGATTCTTGAAAATAACCCGTCATCAATCGAGCTCA